TTTTTTTTTTTTTTTTTTTCAGGTCTGATTTTCACTATTGCATAAATAGCGCTCTCTACTGCGAGGGTCGTGCATCATACATAAATTAGATTTTGTGGCTATCTTATAAAAGCAGAGGTAAAGACAATATGCCATCCAGCTACAACAGGGTATGCATGAAAAATTTAGAACTTATATCACCATCTTCAAGAAATTTCTGTCTCAGTGATCCTGTTGAAACTGTTTCCTTCTGCACTCAGAAAGCTTTGTCAACAGCATATCATAGGTTGGCAACTGATGAAGTGGCACAATTTGTAAGTCTGTGGTGCTTTTAAGTGACAGAAGTCTTTCTTCTACACCACTCTTTTTAAAATTGCATACCAAAGGTTTTGATTTGTAAAGTTTCTTACAAGTTTTATTGTATATATAACAGTATCTAAAGAATAATGTGACTCTGTTTTCGGAGACATGATTTATACAACACTTGATTTATATTGAAGAAAGTTTTTCAGCCCAAATTGAAACAATTTCTCAGTGTTGAGTGGTAACAACTAAAATAATAATCATCTTCATATTCAAGATATGCTTGCAGTGTTTATGAAAACTGTAATTGTTACATCTGAGGTAGGCAGAGGACTTTTACAATTGCTTGTTTAATTATTTTTTCTTAATAAGAGTGAATTACATAAGCTTGGTTGATTGTTTGCTAGGATGGCATTATATGAGGCAGAGCAGCCTGACTCAGTGTAATCAGCACCAATGGGGATTATGGGCAGGCCCAACAAGACCCCTTAAGTGGCTGAAATTATTATTTCCCTCAGATTTCTAAGAAAGGTAAGTAGATGTAGCACATTTCTATCCAATTATAATTATTAATTTTTATTCCAAGTGAAGTTAAACCCAGTTAATTGCCCACCCTCGAGAGAACTGGCAAGTAGGCTCTTAATAGGGTTGACTTTTTATTTTTTTTTTCCTTCAGGACGCCAATGCAAATTTGTGCCAATGAACAGCTTTGCTCAATATGCAAATGAGAGAGTATTAATGCAAACTAACTAAGTTCCTTATTCCTATTGCAAATAAATGTGGTGGAAAAATGCTGCAGACAAATTGTTTTGCACCATGTTTACTTGTATTAATTAGCACTGATAGTAAATATGTCACTTTTGCACAGGGAGCAAAAAGAAAAATCTGTATGTGTCAAAATTAAGGTTTACCTTGGCAGTAAATGCTAGGTAAATTTTATGCAAATGTCACATGTATTTACATCACATTTACAGGCGAATTTGTCAGGAACAAATACTTGAGTTTACCTTCACTTTATATTCTGTTCAATTTAGAGCCCCAAATTTGAACCACATTTGCACACCTTAACAAACCCTGGTAAATCCATTTCTTCCTCAAGTGGTACAACACAAGCTTACTGACTCTTTTGCTATCACCAATTTACAACACAAAACTGAAATAAATTAAACAGAGAAGCTCACAAACTACTAAGTGTCAAATTTATAGTTTGACTGTTACCAGAGAACGTCAACTTTGAAAATCCCTTTTCGATTTCTGATATTCATACGATCATGGTTTCAGCTTAGCTTCAATTACCTTATACCAATCAAAGTAAACAAGAAAACAACTTGTTACGCGTCAGTCAACTTTCTAAAAAAATAGCTAAAGGTTAACATAGTTATAGCATAGCCGCAGTGAGGTCAGTGAAACAGTAATAATCTATGCTTGATTGTGTTGGAAAGGTGACGGTGACAGTTCTTCACCGCAGCCAACGAAGGAATTATCAAAACAATCACCACTTGAGCAAGTAGTATGTTATCACATGCGCTCGATTTCAAAAGGAGAGCTACATTCTGGTGTTTTTTAGTCTCGGCACCAATGATGACCATGCATCGAGTATTTTAGGTGCTCGTAATTCCAAGTCTCAATTACTATCTGAGTTGCGTGATGTTGTTATGAAGCAAAAATGTGAAAATTAACTAGGACTTGAGCCTAGTTGCTTCCATAAGAAAGAGAGAGCTCTCAACTGCCAATAGATAAGAATTGGACGTGTTTGGATAGACGCTCACCTCGTTACAGACTGTAACAGATCCGTGTGTTGTTCTCGTTGCCAATATCGTGCACGACTTTGTTGTAGATATCATCTAAACAAAAAGGAAAGTAAGTCCAAATCCGCCTCCGATTCTCGACTGTAAATTGTTAAAAGTATTGAAAATAAATACCTGTACTGCATGTAACTTACGGTACTAACCAAAGAAGCAGTGAACGAGGACTGGCTCAACCGCACACGCTGCGAATCAGCTCGAGACAAGGGAGTAATGAGGAAGGTTGAGCGCACCAAGCGGGAAAGCGCACTCCGAAATCCGTCAGAAGGAGGTCACCTCGGGCAGATTTCCGATTACGAAATCCGAGCTTGCCCGATGTTGTTTTCGTGATGAAGGCCCTATTTAGCATTTTAGACCCGCAATACGGAGTAGAAACGGATATATACTTCGTTTTTGGTTCTGACTTCGCATTTACGTTAAGATAATTTTTATTTGCATTTTTTTCGTTGCTAACCTATATTACAGATGCCTCCTTTTGACGGATGGCCGATCACAACTACAACATAGTGACACCTCCACGGAACCTGTCAAAAGGAGGATATGAAAACACCAGAGGTCATCTCGGGTAGATTTCTGATGACGAAATCCGAGCTCGCCCGATGTTGTCTTCGTGATGAAGACCC